TAAGCGAAAGCTTAGCCTTTAGCTCTTATCTCATAATATTTTAATCTGCGGATGACAGAAGAGATCCGATTTGGGTGTGCATTAAAGTACACTTGCTTGACTGGCCGTGCGCATCCTGGGGGTGCCAGAAAGACGAGAAATTCCGAGACTGGGAGTGTATTAATATTGTATTATGGTTTGATATTGTACTTCCACAAAGTTATTTGAAGAAAAGTGAAATAAGAAACGAAAATGATCACTTCCACAGAATGCTTTTTGGTGCACCCAGCATTGTTTGCAAATTGACAACGAATCGTTTCAGCCGATATAAGTGGATGCTTGTTAGCAACTCCAAAAATGCAAGAAATGAGAGTACAGATGCAAAATAAAAATATCCCAAACTGCTATCAATGGCTTCCTAAAATCACAAATACATTGCGCGACTCACGAAAAATCTTGAACAGTCATAAGTTTTTACGATAAAATGATCGGGACCTACAGCAATAAGAAGTTGAAATGTGCACAGACACTGACGAAACCGCGAGGGGTGATGGGTCTTCTGGCATCCCCTCCCTCCCCTCCTCCCAGCTCGCCGCCCCTCCTTCCCCGGTGGCACAGGTAGCAGTGCTAGAATTGGAAGCAAAGAGCTGTGCGGTGCCTCAGTTGAAGTAATCTTCAGTCTAATTTGCCTGTGATAAGGCTATAGCCTTGCTTATTCAAATAAAAAGAACATACCGTGTGAATAGCCAGATAGGCATAGACATGCATGATCAGGAAATAGAACGAAATGATGATATTTCGAGATGTCGCGTGGTCAAAATATTTTAGTCGTGGTGCAGTATGGTGCACCGTCATGATGATCATCTCCAGCGCCAGTATCTACAATGAAAAGCGCCACTGGTTTCCTTTTGCTTTAACGAATAAGGAAATGAAAAATAAAAGAACCAACCGTGCTACTCCAGAATTTCTGGATTTTTGTTTTGACTGTTAGAACGATGCAAACTTTTGGAGCCTCAGTTAATCAGTGGGTACCGTATCCTAAGGAAGACATTAGATTGTCGGCTTTCACAGAATTTGTCTGTCAGGAAACGAAACAGAAC